GCACTTCATTGTCCCCACTTACTCTACTGTTCATCTCCAAACTGCCTTGTCGCTCCATGGGCCAAAATAAACACGGGGAAACGTGTGTTTCAAATAAACTCGTTCAGAGAAGAAGAACTAGAAACCATTACTAGTACAGACGCAATCACCAACGATTTCTTTTGAGTAAGTAGATCGAGAGGAAGCACAATAGAAGCTGACAATCGCTCCCAACAAAAAATCGATAACTCTTCATCAGCAGAGATTCAATCAAGCAGCTCACTTAAAATCCACAAGAGTGGATTAGAAAGCGTGAATATGCCAGTTTCAACAACTATCAACCCACGGATCATGAAGCTACTGCTGCTGACAGAAGACCAATCGTTGCATTTCTGAAGGCTATATACAATAGCGAACTGCGAAATATCAGAATATAGATCGGTAATTTGAAGATTGTTCATTTTTCCAAACAATATTTACTTTTTCACAACCATGACTGTATTTCCTCTTTATTAGGACTGTTTCATCTACAAGCACAATAACACCTTCTGCTTCATATACTCAAGTAAATTTCACAATCTTCCAAGACGCAATATCTCTGCAGTGCTAGTACCACTGGAAGGATGAAATGAGACTATTATCAATCTCAAAAGCCATAGCTATCATAGAGCTTCTCGAAACCTAGTAATTACAGGTATTCTAAATCCAAAAAGTAACCATAATACACAAATTATCACGCTCACAGACTTCTCAGCTTAACACACTAATTTCGTCTGAGTGCATTGCCGTCTACAGCCCAACAATGCATCTGAAGACTCATTATCTCCCTACACATGTGCATGTTTCAGTCCTCCCTGTCTAAACCTATTTTCCATACATAAATCAAAATTCAAATCTCGGTTGAAACTTGTGAACAGTGGGCAATCTGAATGGTTAATTCTAGGTGTTTTGACTGTTGTATCTATTCCTTAGTGCTGCCAACATGACTTCAGAACACAGAAGTTATTCTAGTTTGAAAAGAGAAAGAATGAACATATCTGTAGCCAGGATAATGCAAGCACGTTTTGTATCATGGATTCTCGTCAACTGCCTAAATCCTACACAGAGTCGAATTGTGGACTTCTTAAGTTCTGAACATATTTTATTCACATTGGCTTAGATTAACAGATAGAAGGTATGAGCGCTATATGATTCCAAAAACGATGTAAGCAGATGAACTATTTAGTATTAAAGGAGTAACTATTTACATGGTAATCAGACAAGGGGTTAGACTTCAGATCTCGTTTGGATGCAAGAATGGACTAGAGACAAAATACAAGATCGAAAACGGAGTCGATTTATGCATATTATGATGGAGAGTTGAACAGGGTGTGGGTGAGTAGTGAAGTAGAATTATGATATAAACAAATTGATTTAAAAGATTTGGAAACTTAATTGTGATGAGTTCAACTCGGAAAAGGAAGATCAGAATCAAAATTAAGTGGAATTTCACACAACATGACAAAATTCAAGACCGCACGAATAAAACAGTTTCAGCTGCCAGGGTAACGAGAGAACAGTCAGGTTATCTCTATAATAATAAATAATAATTTTTCCTTCACGTTCCCAGTGGAACATAGGGCTCTAAGCTAGTGGCTTGAAGTTTCTGTAGCAGCGTTTACTTTACAGGATGGGGTTTCTGGCCTCATTCCCAAGCTTTCCTCTTTACCAGGATTATTTCTGGCTTAGCGAGGTAAACCAGTGCGTCGGCCAGGGATCGAAACCCAGACCATATGCATGGTCGGCGAGCGTCCTAACCGCTGTGCCACCGAAGCCTAAACAGGATGTCGCTGCCAGGATTTGAACCTGGGTTAGTGCGGCTACAACGCAATGTCCTAACCACTAGACCACAGCGACCAGGTTATCTCTACGGTTACAGATAAAAGTTAAATAGAGGACCTTTGATGATAGCGATGACTTCTGCGAAATAAAGTAACCACAGTTGCTTTGTGTATAGACTATTTTGAAAGACTGACTAATTTCCATTGTATTCCTTGTGTTAATCATGTGTTGTCTCGCAGTTAGGCCTATGAACACTTCTCTGCTTCCACAAGAAAACGTTTGGAGATGAGTTCAGGAAATCTAGTAACGTCCTGTGCACTCCTTCCTCTTTACTTGCTGCCGTCAGTATGCGTGTGAAATGGTAAATGAAGTTGGAGTTGACATACAGAGCAGGTTACTTATCTACATTTTACCGAGTTACCGAGCATGCTGTGTTGTGAAGTGGAATGAGTCTGGTAGCGCGAAATCTCCTTTCCAATTCACACTTGAATCTTTTCTCCATTCTCGTGGATACTTATTCCCTTAGAAAGCTAGAAAGATAAATAATTATCCCTATTCAGCTATTTCAAGGCTTTACTCTAGGTGTTTTTCCATCTAGGTATTTTGATAAGACCTCTCGAGGGTATCCATTCTCAATAAGCTTCTTCCCGATAACTGTGAATTCATATTTAATAAGACTCTAACTCTGCTGAAGTGTATTTCGGAGAGGCTGTGTTCGTACCCGACCGGGCATGTTTCTTTACTATACATAGAATATTCAATTGACCTTCAGTTTTCTCATTCTATAATGAGATCTAAAAGTGGAATTCATTGTCATATTCACTATACATTGTAAGTGCAATAAACAGATGAGCCACATTGAGTTTATAAAACATCGTAGACGTTTCGTTCACATTCTTTAAAACCAAAAACGTATTGTCAACATACCTGCTGTAATAATGAGCAGCGCTGATCCATTAGTGGGTTCAATCAATTCTGTTCAAGATGAGCTATGAACATATACTGGCTCATAATTGGAACACAGAGGTGGAACCACAATTACCCAGTCAATCCACGAGACAAAACAACTTCGAATTCCACATGAGATGGAATATGCAATTGTATTCCAGCACAGTGCCCAAGTTCTACACTTTCATTAACAACGTGTTATTAACCTACAAATATGCTCATTTATTTCTTTGTTCAAACTAATAAAGCTAACCGGTTGTACGAGGATTTGTCGCCTTGTTTACAAATGAACATCCAATTTCACTTTACTATGGTCACAAGTGCGAGAATATCCTGATTAGTCTGTAAACTTTACCAATTCCTCACTCACTTCATTGTGTGTACCACAGCCAACTCTCGACATGTGTTAAGATATGTTTCAATAAGTTGGGAATGTTGGTTGGATTTATATTTGTTTATTACTTGAGTGCTCTGGTGGTATATAATTCCACATTAATATGTTTATCAGACATATCGAACAGCGAAAAAACGGTTACTTTTTTACAAAACTACCGATAAGTGTGGCTATATAGAGTTGGTGAGAAACGACCTAATTTCTAATCAAGAAGTTGAAATTGAACAAACAGTTCCACTAGAAGATATAATGACGGGAGTGCAGCTATGCCTGATATCCACACTATTTAAATTCCATAGGAAATTGTATAAAGAAAATAAGGGAATTATCACGTTGTCATCAATATTCCAGATAGTGCCAGAAATATTCTTGGACACGTGAGAAAACTTAGCGATTGAAACGCTCAGTCGCATTCACCCACAAACTATGGTGGAGGTATGTAAGTGACACATTCACCGTGCTCAAAACACAGGACATGAATAAATTTTTCGTAAACATCAAATGGAAGCTTGAGACAGTTCAATTCATTAATGAACTGAAAATTCAAGAAGAGGAGCTTCCAATGTCAGAATGTAGCATGAAAGGAGGGAAGAGGATGGGAAGTGAAAGACACCAGTGTGTTCACAGGAAACATACACATTCATACCGATATTCTGATTTCGGGTAATCCCACCATGTGTCAGTAGGAATAAGATTGGTGAAGTGCTGAAGTAATAAGGCAGAAAAGCTGAATAGTACTGTGGGGAATTTTAGGTAGGGGGTGAGGCATGCAAGAGAAGCTATGAAATATAATCACAATAAAAACAAAATAAAATATTAAAAAATAATGCAGAAAGCCGTAAAAACAAAATTACCAATAATAACATTAGTGATAGGGATTGTAATCATGACAATAATAATAATAGGTCGCGCTATATCGTGAATTGGCAGAAGTTAGAATTCAAGGACCATTGGATCGGTTCCCAGTGGCTTAATGGTATACGAGCTCGCCTTGTAACCAAGGTCCTGAGTTCGAATCTCGGTGTGTGCGTACTGCTGAAGAGTCCCAAACTAGGACGAAACAGCTGTCCAGTACTCCCAGGTTTTCCAATGGTTCTCTAACTAATGTCAGCTCATGATGAAATCCTGAAACCAACCAAATCCCTACAAACCAACACTTAAATAATAATAAAAATAATTATTTGCTTAATTCTAAGACAGCACTTATGACGCAGCTAGGAATTCTCACCATTAGTTACTATATTCCACCTAGTTCACTCAGCAGCAGCAACAACAACAACAACAACAACCTAAATATGAAAGTGTATGGGTAACGGAAACTGAAAATGCCAACATATTGTACAAAAAGTGAAAAAAAGGTGTAACAAAATCAATATTAAAAGCTAAAATCATAAGATAATTAAAATAGTGTCACGGAAAATGACAAATGGGAGAATATCAGAAAAGGCATTTATTTGTACTAATTAAGCCTAAAAATGTCTCTATCATATTGAACTCTGGCGAGGGGCCATACGTGTTGAGTTTCTCTAATTAGTCGTGTGACGAAACAAATATTCGTCCATACCGACTTCAAGTCCTACCTGATAATATGCAAGCTGAGAGGCAGAGCTGTGAATAACGAGGTTCCTGAGAGTGAGACATCATCGACTCAGCGGCTTTCTCGCACGAGTTCAGGTGTTTGTCGAGTACGATGGAAACGAACCAATTTAGTGGCACACTACATGAACTACTGTTAAACATCAAGTTCTTTTCAAATATATCTACTTATTTGAGCGGCAAAGGTGAGTAGATATAGAAGACAAAGACTCAAATACAAATTTTTATACACAAAAAGATAAACAAACAAATTTCAGACAAATTAATCACTTATTAAAATACCACAAACACATGTCAATGTCACCATGACAACAGAAATCCCCAGTAAAATTAAATCACTACCGTAATAACTGGCTGAATTCCTTGATTTCGCCTGTGCCTCTTTCAATTCCTTTTTTGCTTCTTCAAGCATTTCTTTCACTTCTTGTTCTTCTTTTGCAAATTCCTCTTTTATTAGATCAGTGATTCTATCGTTCATTGCCTTCAATCGTTCTTCTGATAAATTGCCAGTATATTTCGATACTGTGATAACACCCTCGTCGTGGTTTACATTGTCAACGTTGTCATCAGCGCAAATTGATATAAACGCATAGAGATAAATCGAAATAATGTAGAGTTTCCAAAGCATCAGAATACTCTCCGAAAGGATTTGAGCAATCTGAAGTTATGTGAGTGAATGAGAATATATCCGTATATATATATATATATATATATATATATATATATATATATATGTGTATGGCGGTCTCTCTTTCTGTTGCTCTCTTAGTCTGCGACCATTTCACTTGATGAACCTGTCTCCTTTAACAATGTATATTCCCCTTATATTATATATAATATGTGTGTTTGTTTGACATGTCTGTTATATTTGCTAGGTATATATGGATCGATATTCCATTATAATCAGCCAATCATGTTAAGACTGTCTATTGATTTGTTCATTTTGGATATTCGCTGACACACTTGTGTTCACACACTTGTTCGGACATTCATATATATTTTTGCTCTCACACTCTTGTGTGACTTGGATTCTCCTTGTGTTTGGAAAATAGAAGTATCATCGCAAACCTAGTGGTCTTCTGATTTCCGTCTTTCTTGCGTCAGGACTATTAAATTCTCGACCAGTACATAACAATAATTTGGCGACGAGTACATAATATACACTTTGATCAATCTAGTGGTTATCAGTCTGCGCCAACTCCAAGCACTGGATACACAGATATTCATTAATCATCGAAGAGTGGCCTATGTATCTACCACAGTCTTACAGGAGGGCACTCACGACCCCAAATAGCTCACTGGTAGCGTCCCTGACATCATCACTCGATGATGACGGTTTGTATCATCGAGAGGCGATATTATTTCCGCCATAGTTACAGACAAACAATGCCAACAAACACGAAGCTAAGAGGTCAAACAGACATGGATTCCTGCTAACTAACATTGCAGCCCACTTCAAACCACCATTATGACAGCTTCTCATTACCCTTTCAGACAGGAATTTAGGCATTCAAGCTTCAGATGCTTTTGACTCTATTCCTATAGCTGCTTCACTAACCAAGCTGACTTCAGCACACAATGAGTCCTGCTTCATAAAGTCACGGCTGTCTTCTTATTTTAGCCAGGTAGAAAACAATATACTGCTTTGAATGGGAAGCGCTCCACTTCGTTGATAACAGAGGCTGGTGTGCCTCATCAAGTCACTGCTGTACTCTCCATTCCTTCTTTCTTTCTTCCTATCTGACCTGTCCTGCATTCCTTCAAAGCTAACTGCATCGAATATGCCGACGATTTAACCATTTCTGTCCCAGTACTTTACACACTGGATTGTTATTATATGTGAATAGATTCTTATCTAAAGTTGACAAGTGGTATTACCTATAATTGATCTTAAATTGAATCCATCCAAATGTTTCATATTGTTGATTTTAGTTTCAGATGCGAACAACACCTGCCTGGACTGGATGATTCACTCCTATGGTTGTCCGTATTATTGACGGTACTTTGTGATGCAGAGTAAATCGAATATATCTTATCTCGGAAGCATCAGTTTCTCTTCGAATCTGTGCTGGTCGTCTCATATCCTGTTGATTTCTAATCACAAAAGTTTTCAAGTGTTGGTTTGTAGGGATTTGATTGGTTAATTACAGGATTTCATCATGAGGTGACATTGGTTAGAGAACCATTGGAAAACCTGCAGGGAGTACTGCCAGACAGCTGTTTTGTCCCACCTAGTTTGGGACTGCACAAACGTTTTCGTTTGACTGATTACATGAAAAGGAAGTGAAGACTTTCTGCTAGCGTAACTCACCTTAACCTCTCCTCTTAAAATTTATGATTAATTCGTGTATTCTGCTCATTCTTCTTCCTTATTGTTCCCCCTGTCCACTGATTCTTCCCTGGAATTCTCGAAAGAGACTAGATCATCTTACATAGAACAATCAAGGTTGTAGGCAGGCAGGGTTAGTGGTGTGTGTGTTTGTGTGTGTCTTTGACTCAATCGACTGACATTTTACTTGTCAATAGGCACTTCAATTCTTGAAATCAACTGGCTAAAGTTACCTTGTCTGATACTCAATATCCTCTCCAGTTATTCACAACTTTCTCCTTTTATCTCTTCGTGGGGGAGCGTTATAACTGAAATGAATATACTCCGTCGCCAATCTGTTATGATTGATACAAAACTGGATAGACCCGTCGCTACTTTGTTATGTCTGCACCTGTCAGTTACTATAACGATTATGAACTCTACTGGTAGTCTAATATGCCTAATTATCCGTTGTACCTTCCGGTTCACTGAGCCACACAACTATCAAAAGACAAAGGATGGCCTGTGACAGTACTACGCTGTATTATACTGTATAGTTTTAAAAACACCACATGATATTTATACATTTTGCTTATCATAGTAAAGTCGACTCACAACCGTGAGAATGGATTGATTTTATTAACTGGAAATGTCTATTCTGATTAGTTGGTGATCCGACAAAGATCAAGGTGAGACAAAAGACGATGAATGGATCACATGCTAAATGACAATATGCGTTAGAAATGATACGCTAAAATAGTAACTCCATCACATGGTAAATCACACGATTTATGAGAAAAGATGGTATACTAATTTATGCTGGATTCTATCAGGGAGTGAAACCAGAATTAACTTCATGAGAATGTATACTCGTATGACTAATCAATAAGAGGGAGTTCTAACATGCGATATTTATCAGAGATTTTGCGTAGAGACAGCTGTCAGAAAGGAACTAACAAACTTTGTAAATCAATAACTGAACTGCAAGGTAAAAGCAAAGAATATTATAATTATTATTATTATTATTACATGTATTATCTGTGTGACTATCTACTTATACTTCATTATGTTTCTACCAACATTCTGTTGATAGTGTTTTCATTATTAATATTATTATTACTAGTATTTTCAACTTAATATAATAATATATTTATAAAAGGAGCTAAATTGTTGCAATATGTATGAAAACGTTGAAAACTCTATTCTGTATAGTTGTTATTGTTGTTTGGAATAAACTGATTATTACTAGGATGTTTCAGTTGCCATGGTATTTTTGTCCCATGGAGTTAAGTTCCTAGACTCACGTGCAGATTTCCCCCTTTTTCCGAGGGCTTTCAAACTAGCGCACGTCAAGAAAAGCCTTGAATATAAGCTTCGTCCCACTGATCTTAAATTATTAACTCATTTGTTCCACTCGCCATTGTGTTTATCACTTAAACGGTAATCCCACTGCAATACTTGTTTGCATGTCTCTTGAAATGATTTCGTTGCCAGAAGGAGATAAGGCGCTAGTAATCCAAGTGGGTCAACAATCGATGACGACACTGATATTACACCTCTTCGAGTGACCGGTGTATGAACATCTCCTATACCAAATCCAAAGCTATCACAGCTAACGTCCCACTGCTAGTCTAACACGCATTCAATGATTGGCGTATCAATGAGGAAATCTCGAACAGTGGATGCTCGGCATCCTGTCACTTTAGGCGTCAGAACATCGAACAGTGCACGAAGTTAACCTGGATCCCTCAAGTTATAAAACAGGACGATGAGGCAGCTACTATTTCCCAAGTTCATTCTGATTAATCGATCTCTCAGCACATGCCTTTGTTATGTTTTTAAGACTTTACTCACGGACCGATATCAGTTAGAGAACCATTGGAAACCAGCGGGAGTACGGGACAACTGTATCATCCTAGTTCGGGAATCATCAACAGCACGCACTCACCACACAGGTTCGAACCTAGGACGTTCCGGTTACAAGGCAAGCTCGTATACCATTCTGCTACTGGAACCCGTTAAAGTGGCCAGCCCATGAATTCTAACTTCTACCAATTCGTGGTTTTAGTGTCACCACCAAAGAATGTCATTAGTGGGAAATCCATCCTCACACACTTGACTGGATGGACCTCATTGGTCACGACTTCTGACTAGAACTCCAGGAAACTCCGTCCTGTATGCAAGTCACTAGCGAGTATCAGATTAATTTTCAGGAGTTTGGTTTGTATGAGTTTGACCAAGGATTGATATCAGTTGGAGAACCATTGAAAACCAGGGAGTACTAGACAACTGCTGTTTCATCCTAGTTTGGATATCATCGGCAGTACGCACCGAAACTAGGATGAAACAGCTGTGTCAGTACTCACTGGTTTTCAATGGTTCTCCAACCGATATCAGTCCATGGTCAAACTTGTAAAAATATTTAATTCTTACATACCAACTCTTGGAAATCTTTCTTATGTATTTTTCAGTAACTTCCTTAAACGTAGTTCATAGATCTATTTCCACTACAAACTTCTTTCCTAAACTCATAGGTCTTTTAATAGCAGCTTCTCTATTACAAACCAACTGGTTATTTTTAAACCTCTTCGATCATTTAAACTATCTTCGTGTCTTTTCGAGATATTATTGCAAGATACTCTTGTCGCACGTATCACGAATCATGGTCCTTTTGTTCATATAACTGCTTCCAAAAAGGGATGATACCTGAGCTGTCTATAAAGATCTTTTCACTGTCCATCCCAGTGAGGTTTTCGTAACGTATAGTTCTCCACTACACCCAAATCTCTCTTTCAACACCTTATGAGCTTCCAGGTACGTGGCACCCGACAATCAGTTTCACTTCATCCCCTTGAAGTGAGGAAGACGGTATATCAGACAAATGTGATGTGTTGATGACTGTTTGACGATTAGGTTTTATGACTTCACCAATATCCTACTGGAAGTAGTATAAGCAGTTATCGCTTGAATTGATTCTTCAGCCATCAGGAATCCTAGACAAAATGACACCTGTCCTCACGTTAACGCATCAAAACATTTGAGCGTATTCAGCACTAAGGACTCTTTCACACCCTTGATACCTAACCAGTCGGCCAGTCCAGCAACTACCAAACGTAATGTACGGTCCACTATCTAGTAATGCGTATGCGTCAACAAATGATTTCGATCCTCTTACTCTGACCGCCAGCACACCCAAGCAGACACTGTGACCGTCATAATGCTAGAAAGTGCTACCGCATGATCTTTTGCCGTCATCAGTATTGAGCGCAATCTCACCAAACCACTACACTGCTTTTCAGATCCATTCTGTAAGCCCTTCC